CCCCAAAACCCCAAAACCCCAAAACCCCTTTATTCAATTTTAAAATTGAATAAATCTTTATGTTTGGGGCAAACAACTTGAACCCAGGTTTTAGAAAATGTCCAACTGCTATTGGAGGGAAGTAATCGCTTGGATATTTGCAAGGAACAGAATAAAAACATATATTTTTATTGTAGAAGCCACCTGGAAAGATTACCAAGGATAGAACAAAATTGATCATTGAATTAATTGCCAATAAAACTTTAGGTTTGCTACTGATTGATTCTATTTTGATCAGAGCTTGTGCGTTTGGAGATTGGATTACCAAACTGTCGTCCAAAAAGATATCCAAGAGGTGTTTGCTCCTTCTTTCCACTTCCTGATACCCTTCTTCTCTCACTTGAGCTCGCCTTGCTCTTATAAATATGATACAGCTTTGGATTTTTATCATAAGGTACTACATTCAATGGTTTTGGAATATTCTTTGAGGGGTAAGCTAAAGAGCCGTACATTGTCTTCCTCGCATTGATTTGAGTCTGGTTCATACTAGAACCCGCTCCTCTATAAATAATCATTAAAACTCATAGTTTGATGGAAAGTACCAACTAAGCGATAGACAATATAGTCTCTGGTTTAATGCCATAAAATTTTCCATTGTAATTCAAATTGAATTTAAACCAAGTTTTTGGAGATTTGTCGATCCAAACTTAATACTTACCTAAAACCATTATAATTTGTTTGCATGAAATTATTTACGATCTGGAACGAATTATTCTGAACTCTGGCAGCTTTTTTAGGAGAATTGCTCCCAGTCCGGTTTACGCTTTTTGGATTAATCACTGAATTAGGATAAGCAGGGGCTTTGTTCTGGCATCTTTCATTATTAGTTGATCTAAGAACAACCCTATGTTTTGACACATTGGGCAACTGTGGTTTAATCTTTAAATGATAGGGCTTTCTATTGGCTTTGTTTGTACTCCCATAGCTTCTGGCATTAAAGAAAGGTCCATGGGCAGTTTCATAACCAGAACTTTCCTTTCCATCTGAGTAGCCCGAATTATCTCTAAAAGAGCCAACCATAGTCGATGTGAAGTTTGTGAAATTATTTACTACTGGTTTTCCAGCTGAACTTCTGGGTGAATAGCTCTTTTCGCTTGGAAAAAGATCATTTGGAGTGGGTTTCTTAATTCTCTTATTATTTAGGAAGTTGTTGTTGATATCCTAAATAAAGGTATCAAGTTTGAGGATTTTCAGTTCAATAAATTTAATCGATTCATATGTAATCCATACCCAGCACATCAAATATTTCCGATGAAGGATAAGGTCAAATTTTTGGAATAAATTTATCAAAATTCTCTAAAAATCTAATGTTTGTTTGCTCAAGTAAAAATCTTGATTTAATACAAAATTATAGTTATAATTTTCCACTCAATCATAATTCATTTATAGAAATAAAATGCAAAATCTCTAATAATACTGCATTAAGTAAAGACCTCGGATCATCAATATATCCAAAGTTCATGAAGTAAGGTGTTGTGAATTGTCAAATTTTATTTGGGGCTTATTTCGCCAACCAGAATCTAAAATTTCTCTAATTTAATAATATTATGCCAGAAATAGACACTAGTCTCCGAAGACTTTAAAATTCGTGGCTTTTTAATCCGTTCTTCATTATTTAAAAAAAATTATACTTAAAATCTTTATTCGGCTTACCATTTATCCTAGTAGAATGAACCCGAGAGCTTGGATTCTGAGAATAAGCTTTAGCTTTTTTAACAATATTGGAACCCTCAATAAATCTTCTAGCTACCGGAGTAAAATGAGCAAATGGATCAATCTGATTATTATCCTTCATTTGAACAGAGTTGCCTCTAACTGAACTTTTATAATCAAGTGGGATGTTGGGCTTCCTGCTAAACCTGTCTACTGACTCTGAGATTTCGATCCGTAGCTTCCCATTAGTCTTCTCCCATTTATCAAGCAGCAAATAGTAAGAAGTTGTGAAGTGATTATGCTTATTCAATTCAATACACTTCTTTGTATACAACCGGCAGGGTACTTTACCAGTTCCTCCTTTCCCAGAAATGACTTTGGAATCTAGAAGTTAACAAAACGGTACCATTCATGTCAAAATTGAAGCCATAAGATTCTAGTAAGTCGAGAACTTCATTATTCACCTATATGGACTAAGATCTACTGAATCTTACTGGAATTGAGTTAACTCCAACAATAATTCCTTCTTTTTCATGAGGAACTGTCAACTGATACCAAGGATGATTCCTCATCTCTTCAATCGTTATTCTTGTATTAGGATTAGTATCCAAAATTTTCTTCATCAAATCCTTTCATTCAGGGGAGACATGGTTTGGAATCTGATATCTAGCACCCAAAATTTTATTTATACAACTTTCCTGTATCAGGATCTTCAAATGGGAGATAGCCTCATACCATAGCAAAGAGGATAACCCCTCAGCTCCAGATGTCAACCATCAATCCATGGTATCTCTTTCCAGCGACAACTTCAGGAGCTGCATATCAAGGAGACCCTCACGCCGTTTTTAAAGTATTTCCTTTCTTATAAGTATTACTTAGCCCAAAATCAATCAGCTTGATGTCATTATTATGATCCAAAAGTAAATTTTCAGGCTTCAAATCTCGATGGCAGATCCTGAGCTTATGTATATACTCCACTCCTGAAATGATTTGCTGAAAGAACTTTCAAGCTTCTTTCTCTCGAAGTTTGCTCTTTGAAACAATATAATTAAAAAGCTCTCCTCCTTCAGTATACTCCATAATCAAGAATAGCTGTTTAGGAGTCTCTATAATCTCAAACAGTTGGATAAGATGAGGGTGTCTGATAATCTTGAGAATATGAATCTCTCTAGCAACTCTTTCAACATCAGCAACATCTGCTATTTTCTCCTTCTCAAGGATCTTAATTGCAACTTTTTGGCCTGTGAGTATATGAGTGCCTTCTTTAACTTTTCCAAAAGTTCCCTTCCCAATGCTCTTTCCTAAAACATTACAGCTAAGAAATACCGAAGATGTAGTGACCAATATTGCTTGAACTCGTATGCCCAGTTATCGAAGAAGCCGATGTTGAAAGATGTGTTTTATTTCTGAGAGTCTCTATGCTGTTGATGGTTTATTCCATAAGCCTTATTATCCTCTAATTCCTTGTCTTTCTGACCATTTTCTTTACTCTCATTATTATTGCTGAAGCTCTTCTGATCAGATCTTCAACTAGCATCTATTATTTGACTGTTTAATTCCTTCCTCTTCTTAGACTGAGATTTCTCCTTATTTAGGAGAATTTGACACAGCCTCGTTAGAAATAGATATTTGAGCATCAATCAATTCAAAAGCTGCCTTTACTTTCTGAGAAGTATCCATAATACTATTGACTTTAGGAGGAGGTATCTTCTTCATGTGATTATTCATCTCCATTGATATCACTGATTCTAAATAATTTAAAAGTCATATTCTATATAAATAATTCATAAAGGGGTTTTGGGGTTTTGGGGTTTTGGGG